GCAGAGGGGATACCAAGCCCATCTCTGAGCAACAGCCACCTGGAAGTCACACACAGCTCTGCAATGACCCCCTCCCCACCTTCTCCCAGTGCTCCAGTTTTTATTGCTGGGCACCACTGTACAGTATGGAACACCCCTCTGTTCAGTGTAGTCTGCTGCCCAGCTGTGTCCCCACCCAGCCTCTTGCCCAGCCCCAGCCTACACTCTTGGGGTGTTGGATGGGCAGAGTTGGGGGCAAAAAGAAAGTCCCAAAGCTGGAGGATAAGAAGCTGACTCCTATTTTCTTTGTAGCATTAAGGAAAAAGGGTTAGTGTCAGTCAGAACAGCCAGAGTCATAGCCAAACCCTCCACTCTCACACGGCTACAGCTGCAGTTATGCAATGCTTCCAAGACTGTGCAAACAAAACACTAAACCAAACACTCAAAACCCAAGAAGTTTATCATCGTTACATTTTATGCTTGTAATCTTTGAAAATGTTTATGCTAGGTTCGTTTACAATACTAACACTTCCCATATGTTGTTACCAGAGCATGTGTTAGGAGCTGATAAGAACAAGGACCTTGTATATGGATGCTGTCTCAGAAGGGGGAATGGAAAAAGTCATTATATTGAGGAAAGCTGATGTATGAAAGACACACAAAGAAGCCCCAAAATGGAAATACTTACCTGAACTCCAAACAGAGGGGATCCACAGCCATTTGGTGGTGATGGTTTATATCCGTAGCGAGGAACGGGCCTTGATCCTGAAAAAGGGAATTTGTCATGTCTGAAATAAGATTTTTTTGCACAAGATTTTTGTGGTTTTAAAACTCACCACAGACATTTGTTTGGCTCAAGACAGTATCAGTTGTATTTTTAACTTAAACATATATTCAGGCACCTGCATATCAACAATTCTTTCCAAATTACAACTTAGGGGTATTAAGCAATTTTTCTTAGTAAGGGGGACAAGGCACCTGAGCAAGTGTCAATGTTTGCTTCCTATGTTAAAAAATAATTACTGAAATCCATGTGCTGGTTAAGTATTCAATATATAGGAGTGTATTAACAGAGTACTTTAGTGTAAATTCATTAATACTTCTATTCTCTATATGCAACCAACAGTAGTTCTCTGATTTTTTTATCTTAACTGGGATGAAACATCATTTTTATTTCTACAGCTTTAACATTAATAGAATTTGAATTAGTAGAGACTGCTAAACTCACATCTCCCTGAACACTCACTAGTGCAGCAAACCAAGGAATTCTGCATCCCAAGTTAAGAAAGACTGTAGTTAATTTGAAAAGTGATCCTCCCGTTCATTTCAGTAGTGGAAGCAATCTGAAGCCACAGTTAAATGTAATAGGGAAAAAACCCATTTGAAAGATGGATACTTCAGCACAGAGTGTAAATGTCACAGTGTCCTGGCCACTCTTGTAGAGCCAGCCAGGGTGTCACCATCAGACTCATTTCCTGACTTAACAAATAACCTGACACAGTAAACTGGAGTGATGTGATCCCAGCACGACAGGCTATGCCAGCCTCCCATTCTGGGGTGCTCTTGAGGCGCCAGTGAAAAGCCTGGAAAGAAATCCCATTTCTGGAGCATCGCCTGCCTGGCACTGGGGATGGGCACAGCACGGGAGGCAATCACAGAATGGGCCAGGCTGGAAGGCACCACAGTGAGTCATCTGGTCCAAATGCCCTGCTCGAGCAGGCTCATCCTAATAATAACAGTCTAATATAATAATAACAATGAAGATTATGATCATAATAACCATCGTCATCTACCAGGTCATGCCACCTTGAGCTGCCTCAATTATAGTTCAGGTAAATCAGGCCGCTGAAGCGCAGGGAGGAAGCGCAGATCACAGATGTCCTCTGCTGGTAGCAGCAGGACACTTAGAGCAGGATGCATTCCTTCCTCCGGCAAACGCGGCTGCCATTAAAACCTGCTGTGCGAGCGTCACTTCGAAACAACATGTTCCATAGCTCAGAGTTAATAAGCTTTCCTGTCCCAAACCGAGTGCTCAGGAGTGCTCATAAATAACCAGCCGGGAGAGAGTAACTCTTCTCACTCCAGGGTTTTTCCCTGGACACATCGGCTACATATTTGACAGTAATAAGCCTTTCCCCGAGGGAAACGTCTTGGAGACGTTTAAAAGGAGCTACTTAAAAGTCGCCTTACGAGAACAGCTTACGTGTACACATGCTCCGCACACGTTACACACGTATTTAAACACACATACACGTGCAGGAGCTCGCTCGCCGCGGTTCATACACGTATTTATTTACAGGAAAGCACGCCGGGAGAACTCAGCGGGGTTTGCCCGGGAGCGGCGCTGGGCCGCCCTGCCCGGGACAAGGGTCGCGCCCCAGCCCCGCTCACCGTCGCTGCACTTGTACTGGCAGAGCCCGTCCTCGCCGCCCAGCAGGTCCAGGGCCGCGTTCAGGTACATGTCGATCTTGTGCACGCCATTGCGGATCGTCTTCAGCGTCATCCGCCAGTCCGGGGTCTGCGGCGCCTCCTGGCCCCGCGCCGGCCGCCAGGCGCAGGCCGCCACCAGCAGCAGCAGCGGGGGCAGCAGCGACAGCCGGGCCGGGGCCATGCCGAGCCCGCTAAGCCGCTGCCTTCTCCTCCGCCGCCCGCCCGGCCCGGCCCGCCGCCACCGCCACCAGGGCCGCCATGGTCCCCGCGGCTCCGCCCGTGCGCCCGCCCGCGGGGAGGGGCCTCAGGGCAGCGCCGCGGAGTGCTCCGTGACCCCTCTGCTGTGTGCCCTCAGCCCTGTACCCTGTGCCGTGTCCTCTGTGCCCTGTCCCCCTGTGCCCTGTACCCTGTGCCGTGTCCTCTGTGCCCTGTCCCCCTCAGCCCTGTACCCTGTGCCGTGTCCCCGTGTCCTCTGTGCCCTGTCCCCTGTCCCCCTCAGCCCTGTACCCTGTGCCCTGTACCCTGTGCCGTGTCCTCTGTGCCCTGTCCCCCTCAGCCCTGTGCCCTGTGCCCTGTCCCCTCTGCCGTGTCCCCTCAGCCCTGTCCCTTGTGCCGTGCGCGGCCCTCCGAACCGGGGCAGCGACAAGCGGGACCTGCCCTGGTACCTGGCAGCTCGGCGCTGCCCCCGGAGGTACCGAATTTTGTGACGATGTTGGGTGGGAAGGAAACTGACCCGGCCGTGTTTGTACATGAGTGGTTCTCGTGACATCGCCAAAAGTGCAAGGCGGGGTTGTGAAGCGGAGCGAAATGAAAGTGTACCTGTTAAACGGTAAAAGTCCAGTCTTGATTTGTTCAAAAGAAAAATCAGACCAGAATGAACTTGCTTACTAAGAACCGTGTTTGGTTTTTAGAATTTTAAGAAAAATTTATATCTAAATGATAGAAGCTTCACAGATTAACTGAATTGGAACCATGTGAAAATTGTTTTAATTTTTGTGATGAAAACTCTGTGATGTTGTGTGGAATCCCTCAGAAAACAGTAATATTTGGCTTCAGGGCTAAAGTTAAATGTAAAGAAGAACCAGAAATGAAAAGAGAACCGAGAGACTTTCAGAACAGACAGGGCATAAGGATACATATTCTACTATTTTTTTGTGTTTTTGTTTTGTTTTTTTTTTTCAAACCTCAGCATTTAATGTAATGTGTACTTACCTAATGAAATTGATGGGAAAAGTTCTTCACACAAAAATTAAGTCAAACAAAAGAGGGAGCTCTCTGTATATCTGTCCAGCGTTTTCCTTTATAGGCTTTCTTTACCAAGACCCTGATTCAGCAAAATAATTTCTGTGTAGGAATGTACTAAAATGCTTTCCTAAATAGCAAATTTTTTTGAGGGTGTTTCTTAAGAGAAGGAATTCATGCCCTTACTTTAGTTATTTTGGTGACTGATCTTTACATGACAGAGTCATGCTGATGTGGGGTTTTTACAAGTCTGGAAGATGAAGAAAAGTCAATGAAAATGTAAAAATTGTGGTTGTCAGACTGTGCTGAATTATAGAAGAAATAGCACCACAACAACTGTGTTGTGTGAACATATGCAATTTATTCAGCAGGTTAATTTAGAGAAATAAAGTGAAATAGATATTGAAAATATTTGTCATTAGAATACAGTGAAAAATGTTCTAAAGCTATTGATCATTTTTATACAACTGGCTGGAGCTATATGAGCTTTGTGTTGAGGGTACCAATCCACAAATCAAATTCTACTGCTTCAAAAAGAATTTGTGCACACTTTTTGTGAGCAGCTCTTGCTGAATGGGAAGGTATTGTGTACAATAGCCTGGTGGTTTTTTTATGACAGCAAGAAGTCTAACTTTGTATCTGCTACATGGTTTTGTAGAATTAAATCTATGTGTATAAGGTATTGTCTTTTTACATATTTATATTGCTATATAAAAATGTATAAGAATACAGATGCACTTAGAGTGTGTGATAGTGTGTAGAGTAAAACTCTGCTTGGTGTTGAGAGTTTGTTGGATACTTGAAATATAAATACATACACAGAGATCTTAAGATGTAAAGATGCTTTTGATTTAAGTTGAAGATTAAAGTTTCAAAATTCCTTTGTTGTTTGTGACCAGCTGCTGTTAAATTAATAAAACTTAAGAGCTACAAAAATTTCCCCAGGCTAGATGATCAGATGATGTATATTGACTAGATATTAATTGTCTGAGTTTGTAGATGGAAAAACTACCAAGGAGATTTATTATTTGAGTAATTGTTGCATTACAACAAATCTCATGGTCATAGCCAATCTGTTGATTAATAGATGGGCTGAAGTCTTCTTCTGCAATAAGCCTAAGGAATCAAGTGCCAGGCCAGGCAGCCTGCTGAGGGTTTCTGGTGACTTAGACCTTGAGATGATGTAAGTTCTTTAAAGCAGACTGGCTGCTGTCCTTTCTGTGAAGTTCACATATTGCCAGTGCATTTTCCAACTACTGCTTCCAGTATCATTATCCCTTTTAGCTAAATAAACAACAGCAACTGAAATGCAGTGTGAAAAGTGGAAAAAAACCAATATTACAAGAAAAAATATTTTAATATCTGCTTTTATTAGAGACCTTTGCAGTGGGCTTGTGCCTGCAAAATTCTCTTCCCACAGGCTCTGCAAAAATGCGATATTCAGAGAGTGTTAAGAATTTTCAAAATACATTCCTTGAAGATTTGTACTGATTGTTGCTAAGTTATGTGACAGCTGATTATGGAAAAGGACTATTTTTGCATAGGTGATATGAAGGAAGCATTGAATTTTCTGAGCGTCAGATATTGTACCGTGAAATGAGACCCCTTGATACATGGTGGCTAATCCAGTCGAAGTAGCTGGCAACTTGTGTGTACACACCAGGGTGACCAGGCTCGCCACAGTTCTCCCCCCAGCTCACAATGCCCCACACGTAGGCCACGTCTTCTGCATCAAAGCACACCAGGGGGCCTCCTGAATCGCCTTTGCAGCTGTCTGTGGAGCCATCGTAAGTACCTGAAGAGGAAATAAAAAGCAAAAGTAAATGAAGGTACAAGCTGGCACACAAGGCAGAGCTCAGGGGATTTTTCAGGTCTGTGTCGCTTCCTGACAGGTGTTTCCCTAATGGTCACCAGTAAAGAAGATTCTGAACCTCTTCAAGTCTGTTACTTCTCATTTCAGGTGCAGGGCTTCTCTTTATACTTGTGGCTAGCCCAAATTCCTATTTGCTTTTTCATCAGTCTTGTTTTATGCAGTGCAATAGAGAGGAATTCAGCCACATTGCCTACTGTAAAAAGTAGCCCATAGAAATGGAACGAGGTATAAAGATCTGTGCACTGATTCCTTTGGAAGTGAAGACACCATAATGTGTGTACACCTCTGTGTCTGCCTTTGGTGTCCTCTCTACCCAGTAATCCATTGTCCAGAGTCATCTGTTCAATTATTCTCTTTACCAGCTTTATGAAAACAGGTGGGCAGATGAATCCTGGGATGGGAGGGAGAGCAGCTGTCTCCAAGTGCCCCCACTGCATGGTTGGTCTCAGTGAGGACCTTTAGCAACACCAGGTAGCAGCCCTGAGGCACAGGTGTGCAGGATCCAGTGCCCTTTGTGCTTCAGTGTTCACAAACCTACTTATTTGCAGGTCAGCAAACCCAGTGTTCATGAAAAAAAAAAGAATCAAGATGGTTGTGATATAAGCAGAAATGTTGCTACAGAGCTAGAATATGATTTATGGTTTTTACCTATATACTCAGTAAAAGTTAATTAATTTCTAACACCCTTGCTACACTTTCCTGCTTGACTGACTGTCCTAGTATGAAGGAAGCACAAAGACAAAGCACAAGTCCCTAAGCTTTTAAAAAGCTCTTTCTTGAATCTGTACCTTACTGAGAAAGAGTTATGTAAATTGTTCAGAGTTAGGATTACTAATCCTATGAAACAAGAATTTATTGCCTTTAATCAGTTTAATTAATACTTGCTTGTATTACTAACTAGTGTGAGTACCAGCCCTTTATTTTAAAGTTTTTATTTGCATCCCCTTTCTGATGTGGTACTGTCATTGTCCCCTCATGGTAAAGTATGATGACTTGAAATATATTGAAGAAAAGGGATATAAGTTTTAGAACTGGTGCAGTAAATAAATCCAGTATCTTACAGATGACATCCTGAATTTATCAAAAATTATTTTGCTTTTATATCTGGTTTTAATTTTCTTGTTGAGTAGTTTGCTTAAAGATTGTCTTCACTTTTTGATTTAATAAACAGTTGAAACCACCTGCCCTGTGAGTTGAATACTCACTGCTCTTTTTGTCATGTATTTGACAATACATTTTGTCGCTTGAGAAGCAATAATGTGTATTCAAAAAAGCTCATTTTAATACTAGGAGTGACAACCAGTTTCCTGGACAGACTAATCTAAGTTTGAAAAGTTAATTGTATTTTCCTGGCATGCAGTGTGGTAGAGGCAAATGTCTAAACAGATGAATTCTACTCAACAGGGCTGTGTGTTCTAGGACAGGAATTTGCTTAAATATATTGCTGAATCAGAATTAAATACATTAAAGGTTGGACATTCAGTAGGCTGTAAAGTGCTTTTGTATTTAGAAAACATAACTCAAATTACATGCAGAAATTTGTCCAAATAATTAGAGAAACTTGTCATGCTGTTATCTGAACTCTGTTTACAAATAAGTGTAAAATGGTGGATGCCACAGGCTCCAGTGGCTGGAATGTAGCCAACAGTGATATTGTGGTAGTTTATTTATTGTCTTTCTTAAGTCTAGAAGATTCCCAGCCCGTAGGTCTGGCCTAAACGGAGAGCTTGGTAGTAGAGAAATTATAATAAGAAAATTGATGCTTACCTGCACATGCCATTTTTTTAAAAAATCGTCCTGGATACAATTCAGAACAATTGTGAAATAAATTAACATTTCCCCACTTGAGGATAAATTGTTTTGTGTAACCTAGGAAAAAAATTCAAAATTTAAAATTACAAGTACACATTAGAGACATTTAATATAATAATTTGAAAGTTAGTTATTTACTTATTTACAGAATATTATCTTCAGTCTTATAAACCAGAAGCCTTAAACTGCCACTAATATTTACCCCATGTGAATTACAGTGCATTGGCCATATATTTCAAAATAAAAACAGAGTGGTTTAGTTGCAGTGTAAACTACAGTGCTTTCATTTTGTGACATTTTCACCCTTTCCATTTCCTTGTGTTCCGTGGAGCTTTTTTCCTGTGTTTTCCATATGAAGGTTTCCAGGACCTTGGAAATGGGTACATTGTTTTTTGTGAACTGGAGATGTGGCTGTGATTCATCCTTATTACCTTTTTTCCAACTCTGCTCTATCTTTATGGAGCAGTTACTGAAGATATGAGCGAGGTATGTATCCACAAGTCTAAAGAGATGCTCTGTTTTGTTCTCTGTCCATTTGCTAGCAATTCCCAACTTTGCATTTGCTGGGTGGATGTTACTGAGTATGGAGAGGAGAAACCTCCCAACCAGTATGTGGTAGCTCCAACACCACGCTGTAACACTGTGATACAAAACAAATGCTTCCCAAATCTTTGAAAGTATGATTATATTTGTCTCTGTGCAAGCTTTCTGGGCTGAACCCAAGCATGGCAGAGACGGGATGTGCTGAGTTTCATGACTGCTGGCTGCAGCTCAGATCCTGTTGGGAAGGGGACAGAGGACAGGCTGTGACTATGGGCCCCTCTGAGCTACCAAACAACATCTGTTACATGTCCTTGACAGGTCTCCTCAGCTGACAGAACTATTAGATGGGCAAAAGGTAAATTTCTTACTTCCAGGGTAGTTTTCATCCAGGTGTGTCTTCCATATCAATCTACAAAGTAGCTGAAACAGCAGAAGAAGCAGTACAGAAAAGAGAACCTAACAGTGATACCTGAGTGCCAAACCACAACCTACATTTTCTGTACTCAGCCTCTTCTGAGTACTTAGTGCACAACTGTTTTTCAGCCTTTTCAAAACGAAAGCTCACCCCAATTAGGAAATTAGTTATACAAATAATACATTCCTGAAGTGAGCACTAAAGCAAATACCTTTCTCTAGTCCCCATCCAGAAATCTTGCATCTGTCACCAGTCTTAAACATGTACTCTGACCAGGGGACACAGGCAGGTATGCTGTTGTCTTCCAGGGAGCATTCTCCATGCCCAGAACCTTTCAGCTCCAGCAGAGCAATGTCATTTTCATATGTTGTTGCATTGTAATTTTCATGAATTATCACTTGGTTTAGTTTGAAAGTATTTGTCTCTTTGTCATAGGCTATTGTGTTCAACATTCCAACCCAGACAAGGTAGAGATGGACCCGATTTGCCCTGGAAAAAAGCAGTGAAATAAACACAAGCCTTACATTTGGTTTAAAGCTGTTAAGTGTTGCATTTTATTGAAGTTTTTATAGAATTAAAATCCATATTAGATGCATATATTTTCTTTCTGGACTTAATGCCCAGGTTTTTCTGAAGTGTAGCAATTCAAGGCAGATGACACATGGTGAGTACTGCAACTAATACAAAAAAATATGTTAAAACTGGGCTCTGTTTAGTGTTGTGACAAACATAAAGCAGGTATTTTTGCTCCTCTGATAAAAGAGGAGATGTGAGCAGATGTGGATGGGAATGGCAAATGGTGCACGTCTGCTCTTGGCTTGTTCTGGGGAATATATAACCCCAGGGACATTCTCTGGGAACAGATCCTGGACTTCCACAAGGTAGAGATGGAGAAGAGATCTGTTGTATTTAACTTCAAGCAGAGTGGTTACAATGAACCTTTTCCTGCCTGCTGCTATCTGACTGAAGTATGCCATGTCTCTTCAAACTCATAGTTAACTTTTTATCTTTCTATTCACTGTCAAAATGCTCTGTTTGCTCTGAATCTTCCTCATCCTTAATGTGGGTGAGTCAGTGTTTTAAACTGATCTATTCAACAGAAAAATGGAAATTAACAAACACGTAGCTGAGAAGGGCAGCAGTATCCAAATCAATTTTTCTGCCTTGCAGAAAGAATTTCAGAATGAATTCTTTTTACCTGACACAGTGAGCAGCAGTCAGAACCCAACAGCCACCAATATAAACCCCTCCACAGTACACTGTGGAACCTTCATTGCTGGTGTCTTTAATTGCCACTTGCCAAGGAAATTCACCCTATTCAATCAACAAACACAAATAATGAGAAATCATTACAATTGTACAACTTTTAGGGCATAAAGGGAAAAACATCTGATTTTAATAAAATATGTGCTATCCAGAAGTTACATCAGATACAAAGGATATATATACAAAAATTCAGTAATTTTATTCAATATTCTGACTTTGTGCAATATATCTTTACCTCCAGCTTTTAGTCATGAAACCCCTTGTAGTCAGAAAAACAGATGGAGGACCTCACATGGTTTGAATACATTTTTGTTATATTCTGTTTCAAAGCCACAAAGTTTAACTCCATTATGCCAGAATTGTTATTTTTGGCTGTAGTATTAATCATTTCTCTGAGTAATTGTCAGTGTCTATTTGTACTTCAATGCTTAATTTTGTAAGTCCATATTTTACTTTATAAACTGTGCTTCTCTTTACCTACATTCAGTGCAATGCCACTACTGCTGCAAAACATGACATAAGCATTGTAGCTGGTTTTGTTATTTCCATAACTTTAACAGAAGGAAAATAATGCCCATTTAAATCAATGCTGAATGAACTCATATCTGGTAAAGTTGGTTTTTTTACCTTTCCAGCAATCTCTCCACCTACAATTCTTTTCCGTCGAGTTAGTGTGTGATTCCTAATACCACAGTGCACTTGGGGAAGAAGTGTCTTTAGCATTTTTCTTTCTTTAACAAAAAGGAAAAATGTATTTCAGAATTCAGGTATACATTCTTGCTAAAATTTGAGTGCTGTGAATATGCCAGTAGCTGAAATAGCAGGAAAACAAAGACCAAAAATATTGGCATCTGGTTTTGCTTTCAAAATTGCTTGTGCCTGAGCATCACATCACTTCTCTCCATTTTTCAATGCTGCGTGCATTCAGGCAAATAATTTAAGGATGTTCCCCCAGGTTTGCTGAGAGTTTACCAGTTGCCAAAACATGCAGATGTATGTCCTCAGCTAGGATGAATTATTATGGCATTCCTGAAGTCAGTGAAAAGTGAGCCAAACAGTAAGTCCCAGAGTATATATTAGTAAATTACAAAGTCAGAATATCTGAGTGTTCTAGATCTGAGCAGCTGGCTGGTAGCTAGAAAGTCACTAATAAGAGGGTATACTGGTGATTATGGAGGGCTAATTACACTTACCTTTATCCATACTGTTATTTTCAGCACCTTCTTCTTTGCCTGTAGTATTAACAAAATATTTAAATTATCAGCAAACATTTACTTGAATATATGTGCGTGTGCCACGATGATGGAACACATTTTAAATGCATAAGGGCATACTGTTCTCATGGAGAGCAATACTCTCCAGGCTGGTGCCTGCTCTTTCCCTTCCCCCTCCTTTTCCCCTTTCCCTTCCTGCCGGGCACTGTTTGGCTGCCTCAGCCTACAAATGACCAGCAGCCAGCAGATACTCACTCATAACTACACAACATCTACTCACTCTCCAAGCCTAGGGACCCCTTCTGCCAGGGAACCCTGAGAAACTGCCCTTTTTTATTCGTGATCTCTGGGGAGATGTCCCATTCTCCTCCACCAGAAACAACTAAAATTTCTCCTCCTGCCCTGGTGACCTATTGAAACTTTCTAAAACTCAAAGGAGCATTAAGTAACAGGTTTTTATTTGGTCTTTCCCCCCCAATTTAGATTATGATGATGGGTACTGTGTTCCTCCTTTAATAGGGTAAGGGAGAATATTCAGCATGGGAGGTAAATTAAATGCTTGCTGAATCTGGTTTGTCAGCTTTTATTCAAACAAAGTGCCCACTGAATTCAGTCCCTGTATGGGGGCTGAGCATTGTGTCTGTTCTCATGTCACTGACAGTAATGTTTACATTTAGAGTTCAGTTAACCTGCCATTTACCAGTAGTTTTTATTTTTTTGGCCTTAGACTTTGTCTCTCTCGAGAACAAGGAAAACATTCTAATTTTCAAACAAAACATAATCTTTTCAGCAGAGAGGGGAAAAGCACAGAAGAATTATTATATTGACAAGCTTGTTGAATTCCTTATTTGTGAGGAAAGTATTCCTGTTTCTTACACTTTCTTAGGGGATACCAGTATGATAGCTGGCCACATAAAGAAAAGACATAATCTGCCTTAAGCTTCCCAAAACATCATCTGTTTCTTCCTTCCTTTTGTTTTCTTGTCAGGCCTTTCCAGAAAGAAAGGAGAGAAAATTCTATGACCTTTTCTTCCTACTATGCGTAACATAATATTGGGAAGACTGGTTCTTGCATAATAAATAAAATAGTATTGTGTAGCCTCTAGTTAGAATTGAGCTGAATGAAAGAAACAAAAACATCTTTCAGAAGACCTGCACAGGTAGCTCCAGCTTCATCCTCTCCTGTGAGGCAGTCAATTTCTTTGTTGCAGACACTCTTATTTGGAATACAGACGTTTGACCGGCAGTGGAAACTGTTTTCTCTGCACTCTGTAACACAGGAGAATTACAAATGCAAATCACAGGATGATTTGGTTCAGCAACCTCACACTGTCAGGGAGCTTTTTACAATCTAAACCAAATGTATATCCATGTTACAGGGGACCTGCTTCTTCATAAAGAGATTACAAAAGCAGGCTCTGTGCATCTAAACAAAATGAATACTTGGCTTTCCTCACTTTAAAATCTTGGAACTGTAAGATTTGAAAAATGTTTATCTCTGTTACCACTGCAGCACTGCTAGACTTGGTGTCACACCATACCAGTTTCATCCATAAAAATGTCCACACTCAACCTCAGGCAAAAGATCTCCAATTTTGCCAGCATTACTGATCACCTCAAATGAGGAACTGATGATGCTTGTGCCAAATCCCACCCTCCAAATCAGAGATCAAGCTGATTTTTGGTTGAATGAGCTAAATGCCTAAATGCAGGGTTAGGAATCAAAAGTCCTGACAGGAAAACACTGGATGAAGTAACGTACCTCTTCTAAAATTCTTGGTTATATGAAAAAGTATTATGAACTTGAGAACCCCCTTCCTTTTAAATTTTGTGATCCCTTTGAATGTAATCAGAAGCAAAGCAGTGCATGAATTCATGGCAGGGTCTTTTGAGCTAATTTAAAATCTTATGTCAATCTTCTATTTAAGGTATTTGTCTTTAATAGAAAATAAGATAGTTCTCTAAAAGTATCCAGATACCCCAAGATGATTCAAAGACCACTGAACTCAGTTGAAATACTTATTTTGATTTCAGGAAGCATTGTTTTCAGCCCATTCAGCTGAAACAGCACTATTTTTGTCATGTGGAGTCCAAATACATGTCCACTAAATATATGAAATCACAGGTATTTATTATTTTTGTTCTAAAATTACTGTGACCGTGTTTCCACAATTATCTCATTAAAATTACTTACAATTGCAACACTACAAAATTAAGGTTATGGAGGGATAATGATGGGATTTGTCACCCACATTAGCATTTGGCTAAAATGCTGAAACACAAATTTTGAAAGTATTCTCCTGCATTCAAGTCATGCTAGATCCATTCCTCATTTCTAATCAGAATTTTTACAGCTGGAATTGCAGATGCTAAAGGAGTGACTGCTCATGAACAAGCAGTATGCCAGGAAATCATCACAGATGTTCCATGGATGATCTTGCATTAGTAACACATTTAAGGGAGATCTTACTTTGGTTTAAAGATAGTTCATTGGAAAACCAGTGTCTTTGTTTAATAACTATTGGTTTTTTCCAAGTAAAAGTACATTTTCATGCTATCAGGACTAATTTTTTGTATCAATATTTAACAGCCTCCTAAATGATCTCATTGTATTTTCTCATTCTCTGAAGAAATCCAGATTCTCAAGAGATCACTTGTCTGCTTCAAAATGGTATTTAATGCCTGCTTTTTGCACTTGCCTATGTCTACATTATGGTCAGATTTGTTTAATGTAGTGACTTAATGGAAAAGAGAATTTAGCTGTTACATCACTGTAAAAATTCTTTGTGGGTGGATTTCTGCTGAAATTATTTTGAAACACCTGACAGAGGAAATTGTTACCTCTACAGCACAGTTCATCACTCAGGTCTCCACAGTCATTGATCCCATCACAGGTTTTATTCAGAGAAATGCACTTCTTGTTGACACAGTGAAACTCCCCTTCTGAACAAACTGTTCATCAAGATGAAAATGAAGTTAGTGTGGAATTGACTGTAGGTTCATAATTGCCCAGGGAAATGCCCTGCCTGCATGTTGGATTCTGTCAGCAGTTTGGCCCATCAGCAGTAGGTATGCTGGGGCCCAGTCAGGTAAATAGGAAGAATTTTTTATTGCTTTGGTTGCTTTTCACCAGGGTTTCAGCATGACCACTCATTTTCTTCCTCCAAATTAGCCTGGCAAAAGGGAATTTAATTTCTTCTAATGAAAGGACTGGTGAGGACTAAACCAGAAATGATCAATTCAAACCCACTATAAATGATTCAAGGGACTAGGATGATGGAGGTTCCTCCTCTAGAAAGAACTCATCAAGAGTCTGTGAATAACTGCTTTTGTAAGAAAAAATGAGATGATTCGTAGCACTTCCTCCAGTCAGCAGCATCTCAGGCTATGCTCACCAGTGCCAAAGAAAGCTCCCTACAGGGAATGAAAAGCTGTTAGAATTCTAAACAAGGCTTTGATTCCCCCTTTACAGTGAGAAACTGAGGAGTCCTGAAACCCCCACAGAAGACACCAGCAGTTTCCCACTGTAGTCATGTTTGTCTGGCTGCGGTGCTAGTGGTGTGCTAATTGATGTTTCTCAAACAGTGAGCACCACATTGTCACCTGTCTCCTCACCAGTTAAGCCAGGAGAGGTAAGAGTCATGGGATACAATATACCTTGATACCCTTGGAAGGGATAGTGGAACAAACAGAACCATGGATGAAATAAATTTCCTTTATATCTGTAAAAATACTTTGGGGACAGCAGTGATTTTTCAAACTTGAAAATTCAAGACGGTCTTGACTCCAGATTGCCTCAATTGTCTTAAAATCTACAAAATGATGATTTAAAGTGATCAAAAGGTTTCAGTGTGGGTTTTCTGTGGCTGAGAGTTCAGCAAACTCGGTCCTCATTATTTAAAATTTACTTAAAATGTAAAAACACCAAATAGATATTAAACTAAAAAGATCTACTAACCTCTGAGATTTTCATGGCACTGCAGGCTAACAACCAGTCCCTCATTACTATCTCTTGATTTCATCTCTATGTGACATTCAGCAAGACTTGTCTCTAGGCCCCTGCAACTTATTTGCAGACAGTTTAATGAATTTAAGGCAGATTCTGTGATGCTGGAAGTGACTTGGTAAGATTCAGCACCTCTGTGAAGATAATAACAACAAATTATTTAATTTCACAATGGATTGTCCACTGCTTTTATTATTTAGAAGTTACACAATTTTCCTCAGTGTCAAAGAATTTTGGTCATGGCTAAGAAAAAGAGCAGACTAGCAACTGGAGTTGTCTAGGCATAAACAGAAGATGTTTACTTTGGAAGAAGTGCTAATTTTTGCAGGCTGCTGTCCCCAAATGCATATGTAGGTCTATGAAAGTCACTGTGTATCATGATGGATAGAAGTCTCCTTATGTAGCAGAACCTGTAAGCTCAGACCTCTGTCTCTGTGTGGACACGGGTGAGCCATAACTTGGGAACCATCCTGCATGGGGTCAGCTATCCTTGGTCCCATCCAAACCACTGAATACTGAGCAAGCTCAAGCCACTGCAAGGCTGGGATTGATAAATTTTATCTTTCTTGGTTTTACCTGAGCAGTATTCTCCTAACAGTGTATGATCCCCTATTTTAAAGAAATATGGCTTGAGCAAATAAGTAACTAGGGAGGCTTTCAATGAGACTCCATGGCTGAATGCTCTGTCCAGAGCAAACTCCTCTCTGCTATCTGAAGATACACTGATCAGGACTAGGAAACACTTGCTTCTCACCTAGAGAGGCACTGCAATAGCAGCTTTAGTTTTCTGGGGACTTTTTTTTATGGTTTGTGTTTTGTTTTTTTTTCCTGGTAAGGTTGGGAAGGCAACGCTACCTAAGTTATGTTACATTCTAGGTGTAAATTATTATGTACAGGATACAGAGGTGACTCTATAAGGAGCTGAATACGCAACTTGGGTTATCATTGTGGTCATAGGAAAAAGAACAAAGATGGCTGTGTGTGACTTCAGCCATCCCTGGAGCCAGAGCAAGCAGTGGCAGCAGGGGTGAAGGAAAAACCCCATGTTCTGCTCCTTGTTAGTCTGGCTAATGCAAGTGGCAAAACAGAGCTGTACCCTGTTGTCATCTGTCCTGAGAAACCTTTCTCTGCACACAGATCATTGCTCACAGCTACTTGGGAGTGGTCCATCCATGCATTTTCCCCAACACAGGCCTGAGAGAACCCCTCCACATTGGTCTTCATCTTTATTTTAAAGCAAAACAGTTATGGTTTGTATAGTTGTAGCCTGTAACAGAACACAGAAATCTGTGTTCTGGCTTTCACTCTCAGGTGTCAGTTTAGGAAGTTTTATCAGAATATTGTAGCCAATACATCGTTCATGAGTTTTCTGTCTTAACTGTTGGCTGTCACTGACACTTCTGTAAACATCACTACTTTTTCAGATCCCCTGCAGTTATCCAGAGATAAATTTCCCAAACTTACAATTCAAAGCCAAGGTGCCTGCAAGCCACATTTGCTTCATTCATAGTCCATTCACTAGCACACACAAAACTGTCCTCTTTGTGATTCACGGGTTTTACTCGAAGCAAACTTGAATCTCCATGACCCAGAGAGACTGAAAATGTTTCTTAAAAAATAACAAAGAGAGAAATGAAAAAAAAAATCCCCAAACAAAATCATATTATATAGATGTATCTAGTGGAAAGACAGCACAAAAGCAAATCAGGATTAGTTTTGTATTTACTGCCAAAGTTCATATGGAAAGAACAGAAGACTGGGAATCAGAGGCTTCAGGAATTATTCCTGAATTAGTTCTGAGGGTTGACTTTGTGTCTTTGAGCCTGCTAATTTCTCAGAATATGACAGTTTAAGGACAAATGAGGGTAATGGGTCCATAAGAGTACTTGAAGATCTACCAAGAACAGGTTGCATTTTAGTATAATGACCTTCTTTAGGGAATTTTTGATAACCAACCAGTAATACTTGGAGTGAGAGGGCCACAGCCTACTTCTATTACCTGTGTTGCAAAATGCCTGCAGCAGTCTGTGTAGCAAAACCAGCAGCAGGGTGACCTGGGTGTGTGACTTTTCATTTTCTGTTTCATGCTGTCACTAGTGCAAGAAAACTAACAGACTTTCTGTAGATAGTGTAAGCATCTCCTCAGCCACCCCTGATGGATAGATTTTGGAAAAGGAGGTGAGAATACCTTCAGGCTTGCACGGTCCCCTGTGCAGAAACTTTGCTTTGGGCTGCTGGCACTCATAGCTCTTCAGCTGACAGTAGGTACGGAAGTTCTTCCCTCTGTTGGAACAAACTGCAGAGCCGTTCTTTGGGCACTGGTAGGGAAGCTTGCACAGGCACTTTCCCTCCACACATCGTTCCCATGGGTGACAAAAAACTTTCTTACAGGACTTGTGGGTGTATTTGTTGCCCAAGCATTCTTCTATGAGGTAGTTGTCTTGCTCAGCTGGCTGGGCAAGTTTAACCTGTGGAAAGTGGTTTTCTTCAGCATTAGATGGTGCTGAAAAAATAATAAATGCTGCTACAAAAAATATTTTAAATGAAAGCAAGATTAGGGACTGTACCAAGAGTTTTGCAGATCCCTTCATTGACCTCAGCAAAGTGTCCATTTATAAGCCTTTTCCTATCTAATCAGAACTTTCTAAATAACATTTATAGAGTTTATTCCCTTGTCTTTGGCCACCTCGTCTCTCTCACTTTTTCTGAACTCCTTTTTTCTTTTTGGATTATTTACCTGGTGTGATCTTCAGTCTTACTGATCTCCCACAAACTTTATACCCTTTACTTTTCAAACATCAGCTGAAGTGCACAGCAGACTATAAACCTTTCTAAAGGCACTGGTTTATAACACATCCCAGCAATGGGACAGTAAGCAGATTAAAACATAAAGAAATTTAAGCACCAGAGAAAGAGAAAAATAGCAATTTGGTTTTTTTTATTCTAAAATTTGTTTTGTTGGCCTGGTTGACTTTGGATTTCAATATCATGTGTAAATATTTATTAATTACTTACTAGCAAATGAATGTATAATTAAATTAATTATTTGTTTTCCAGAGTCCATGTGACTGCTCAAGTAACAAGTACCTCAAGTACCTTAACAAGTATCCAAAAGCAATTTGAAAATTAAGTGCTTATCCTCATCAGCGTTTTTCCTGTGTCTTGCACAGCAGTGGGTTTGCAGGGTGGCTGCTGGTCATCACTGGACTGCAGGTACAGACTGTGACCCTCCCTCTGATGGCCTCTGGGTGAGTGGCACCTGTGTTTGTGCAGCTCTCTGCTGACTTCAGTGCTGGCTGAGTGCTTTTGCTTACTAAGATCTGTGGGTAGGATGAATCTTTGAACATGGAAAATATATATGGATGGCCTCTGTGTAAAAATGGGAGAAAAACATTAGTCCTCAAATGTGATTTATCAGCTTTGACTGTGTCAACTGGATCAATAGAGCCGAAGTTTAAAGTTCTCATGAAGAAATCCTGCCCACAGTAAAGTCAGGGAGGATGTAGCTGGGGCAGAATTCAATCCAATACCTGTCCTTTTCACGGCTGTATAATCTTACTAAATTCTTCCTGCTCTTCTTGGGTCAGTAGGATCCAAACTGTGAGCCAGATCCGCCTTGGCACAACTCCCATGTTGTGCTAGGTGTTCCTCCTCAAGGGGAACAGCAGGTGCTGATTTTTATCTCAGAACTTCTTTGAAAGACTTGGGTTGTGCTGAATGCCCAGCCCAGATTGGCTTTCCTGGACACTTCTGCCCAGACAAAATCCTCAGGAAACCTCCTGGCAGTAGGAGAATACCATGCTGCCATATTACAAGACTGCAATCCCATTTCTGAAAAAAAGGTGTGGAAAATTGCAGCACCTTTCTGTGGTCAGCTATACTTGCAAATTTGTTTTAGGATAGGATCCTGATTAAAATCTTTTCCAGAAACCTGTTAGCATAAGCCCCAGATAGAATCAAAGCATTAAAGAGAAATAGCAAACTTCAAACATTCAGGCTGGGCTAAAACAAATGTATGAAGCACAAATACTATGAAAGGAACTTTTTAAAAAAATCAATTTGCTTTGCTTTTATAACAATAAACTGTTTATTAAACGTTTTAAAAAATTACTGCTAGCACAATAAAACATATCTTACCTCTGATCCACAAAGACAAAAGAGACACAAGAAAACCAAGCAAATGGGGAGCATTCGCATGATGAAATTTTATTTCTCTTCCTAGACAAATTCCTCTGGCTGGGATTCTTTTGAATGTCAGCTGTTAGATCTGGGTTTAATTTTTAACCGTTAGAAAAACATTTTCAAGTGTATTTAGAAATAAAGTACAGGATCCTCAACTATTAACCGATAAATCTGATCTCTCCAAAAGAGCCTGCTTTAACTGGTTTTATTGGAAGTGGATGGCGAGATAACAAAAGCAAAGCCCTTGAAGTAAATGATTAAAAGGAAGCGCTTGTCGGGATTGCATTTAGCGCAGAGGAGTCCAATCGATGCCTGGCCCCGGCTCCCCTGACCGTAGGCGTTGGTGAGTGCCGGGTTACCGCGTTGTTAAGATCAGTGCTGTTACACCCGGGGTGTGTATCTATGCCGAGCCCTCCGTGGCTGTCCCGCCCATCCCTCGGGAGCGCGGCACGCTCGCTCCCGGCGCGCCGCCATTACCGGGAATGGAGAGCCCTTTGCGACACTGTCGGCCGGCAGGGCCCTTTCACTTACGGCAGGCAGCCCGGTTTGCGGCAGCGCGGGTGTTTCCGGGCGGGCGCGGCGCGCACGTGCAGGTACGTCTCGCGCTGCCGTGTCCGTCTGTCCGTCCGTCATCCCTCAGGGAATGGCCCCGGGAGCTGGGGTCCCCCCGCCCTGGCTGCAGGCCGCGTCCCAGGGCCCTGTGAGGCGCTGCGGGTGCGCGCCCAGTGCGGCCGAGCCCGAGCAGTGCGGCCTCCCGAGGGAGCCTCCCGAGGTTTAACGGGGCCGAGAGGAAGGGTCGGGACGACCCCTGGTACCAACACGGGCTGGCGGGGGGATGGACAGAGGGAGTGCAGCCCTGCCCAGAAAGGCTTGGGGTACAGGTGGGTGACAGGATGGACCTGACCCAGCCATGGGCACTCACAGATCAGAGAGCCAAACCTGTCCTGGGCTGCATCCAGAGCAGCGTGGGCAGCAGGGCAGGGAGGGGATTCTGCTCTGCTCTGCTCTGCTCTGGTGGGATCCCACCTGCAGGGCTGCATCAGCTCTGGGGTGCCCAGCACAGAAAAGAAAGGAGTTTTTGGAGCAGACCCAGAGGAGGCCACAAAGGTGGTCACAGGGCTGGAGCACCTCTCCTCTGCAGTCAGGCTGAGAGTGGGGATTGTTCAGCCTGGAGAAGAGAAGGCTTGGGAAGATTTTAGTGCCTGAAGGAGGCTACAGCAGAACTCTAGAGGGACTTTTCACAAGGGCACATAGTGGTAGAATAAGAGAAGACAGTTTTAAACTGAAAGAGGGCGGGTTCAGATAGGATATGAGAAAGAAGTTCGTTACTGTGAGAGGGGTGAGGCAGTGGAACAGGTTGCCCAGGGAAACTGTGGATTCCCTATCCCAAGGCCAGGCTGGATGGGGCCCTGAGCAGCCTGTGGAAGGTGTCCCTGCACACAGAGGGTTTGACCTTTAGGATCCCTTCCAACCCAAACCCATTCTATGATATTCTGACTTTGTGCCACTTGTCGGGCTGGGGACTGCCATCAGATGTGGCATCTTTATACAGATGAGTGAAAGATGACTAGCTGATCACTGCTAGTCACTTTTTGCAGTTGGATGTTGCACTGGATGACATCCTAGGTGCAAACTTGATTTTTCATAGGCCAGCATGTTTTTAGTGAGGATTGAAAAGGACAAACCATTAAATTAACAAACCAGGCTGACAGGAGACTGTGATTTGTACAGCAAATCAAATGGCACGCACCTTTTATATCTTAAACAACTGGTTTTTTTTTGTTCACAATGCAGGAAACATTAGAGAATGTCTTTTCGTGGAAGAGGAGGTGGAGGAGGAAGAGGAGGTGGAGGAGGAAGAGGAGGTGGCTTTAACCGTGGAGGAGGTGGTGGTGACAGAGGCGGCTTCAACCGCGGCGGGCGAGGTGGCTTTGGACGGGGAGGTGGAAGAGGAGGCTTCAACAGAGGAGGATATGACCAGGGCCCTCCAGAAAGGGTAGTTTGTAAGTTACATGGAGAAACTTCATTTATTATTTTGCTTAGATTGTCTGCTCCAGCCCTTTAGCTTGTTTGTTCTTTATTTCAGTGCTGGGAGAGTTCATGCATCCCTGTGAAGATGACATAGTTTGTAAATGTAAAACAGAAGAAAACAAGGTGCCTTATTTCAATGCCCCAGTGTACCTGGATAATAAGGAGCAGATTGGCAAAGTGGATGAAATATTTGGACAGCTGAGAGACTTTGTATCCTTCCAAAAAATGTGTGATTTACAATATTTGATTTTTAAAAATTGATTTTATATGAAATGGGATTTCTCTAGGATTTTAAAATAGTTCAGGGTTTGGCTACCAGCTATATGTGAGTCTTGCTGCAGCTGTAGGTGCTTCATTCACATTAAGTGCCTGTCTTAGAGCTGTTTTGGTATGACAGAGTACATGAAGTCAATCAGAGATTTTCACTCTTTAGCAGTACTGATGATGTGTTTTGGATCCATGGTGGTTCAGCTTGTTGCTTTTTCTGGCTAACTGACCAAATTTTCTGCTAAAGGTTCTGGTTAACTGACTAAATTTTCTGCTATAGGTTACTAAGCCATAACATAGGTGGATTAAGAGCTTTTGGGTTTTTTTGTGTGTTAGGGGACCTTGCTCATGCTCCAGCACATTATTTAATTATAAAGTGAGTTTATACTAAGATGTCCTGTGGCTCATTGTCCCGTTTATTACTTTTCCTGCCCATAAAAGTGGGATGTGCCAGGACATCTCTGGCAGAGCCAGCTTGACACAGAGACACTGGGTACATTTTGTTGTCACTGCCAGATGGACAGAATCCATGACAAAAGCAGGATAGCTGGGGGAATAACCCAGCTAAGACTCAGCCTGTGTTGGTTGGTTGAGCACCAGTCCCTGGCTACGCGCAATTTCCTCTCCCACATAAAATGTGAAGTAAAATGTGCAGGTTTAAATCACCTTTAATTACAATTGTGATGAAATTTAGCTGAATTTATAAAATACTAACTTAGAAAATGTCTGAATGTTCCTTCCATGGACTGATCAAAATCACAGTTTTGCATATTTTATTACTGCAATGCTCCTTAAGGAAACCAACAGTATTTTTCAGTGAAACTGTCTGAGAACATGAAAGCCTCTTCATTTAAAAAAATGCAAAAGGTAAGTCAATCTCAATAACAAAATTTTACTGAATATCATCAGTTAGCTAAGTCTAATTTGTCAGCAGGTAATAAAAGCTTTATTAAGTTTTTAATAACTTTAAAAGCAGATTATCCTATGTAAACATAGGAATTAAGTTCCTTGTCCTTTCCAGTTCTGTGTTTGCCACATTACTCCTTTTCTTTGCCCCATGAGAAAAGATGCAACAAAATCACACAAATATCACCTATATTTTGGCAGCTTTTTAATTCTGGGGTTTACTTCTTCTGTGCTTTCTCTCTTTGGCTTTTTGCAGAGGACAGTTTGACATAATGGGATAGGACGAAATTGTGGATATTTGTAAAGGGAGATATTAATGTGCTTTTTAGTCTTGGAATTTTGAAAGCTTAATGGAATTCTCTTCCTGCAGTTTTACATTGATCCAGCAAAGCTGCTGCCTCTTCAGAGGTTTTTGCCAAGGCCCCCTGGAGAAAAAGGTGCTCCCAGAGGAGGTGGTAGAGGAGGACGTGGTGGTGGACGTGGGGGAGGAAGAGGCGGTGGTAGAGGTAAGATCACAAGAATGAAAGCTGCAGGATGTTGGAGTTACTTGAGATGCCATGGGTTGCTTTGGTCATTTGTTCTGTGGAGTATTTGTGTTTTGTTTTCTAAAGCTGCTGGTGAGTACTTGAATATCAACAGCTGTATTGCAAATAAAAATGTTTCTGCTTGACTTTACAGAAAAGGCAGAGATACCTTTCAGGTGGTGAGACTGGCTAAATAACAACTCCAAAGCATAGGGAGGAGGGAATGCTGATTTATAACAACAGAAAGCTTTTTGAACACCTCAGTTAAAGCTGAAGTTTATCTCTTCTTTCATCACAGTTTTTTGCCTCTTTTCCGTGCCCTGCCCTTTTACAGCAAGGCACAAGTGTTTCGAAGTGGCTTGGTTTGTTTGGTTTAACATTGAGTTGCAATTAATAGATAATAATTACTAATGGTTGTAATGAATTACTGGTTAATGTATGTAATTTTTTGCAGTCTCTTTAGTATTTTGGACATGGCACATCAGATATTAAGCAATACCTAAAACGCTCCAGATGGTCCCAAGAAGAAGCAGGCTACTAGTAATTGACCTGGTAACTGTCCAGCAATTGACAGTTTCTGGTTTTTTGTTGTTGTTCATTTCATTTCATAAGCTGTCTATGAATGAATTGTTGTACATAACCAAGAATTTACATGCTCCTCAAAGGGTAATTTCTTTCTTTTGTTTAGGAGGATTTGGAGGAGGCAGAGGTGGAGGAAGAGGAGGAGGATTCAGAGGAGGAAGAGGCGGAGGAGGAGGAGGATTTAGAGGAGGAAGAGGTGGTGGAGGAGGCTTTCGGGGTGAGTGTGGGGTTTTTACCTTTCCATAAGAATAGCTCTTAAAAAAAAAAAAAGCTTGTAAATATTAAAAAGCTTGTAACTATTAAAATAATTTAAAGCTTGTAAATATTAACAGAATGTTGTGATTTTTAATGTCTTAGAGTTTTTAGTCTTATAGTTTTTTTTAATGTCTTATAGATGTTTATAGTTAAAGACATTTCTATGCAAGACATTTCTGTGCATCCTAGTAGTTTAAACTGAAGCACAGTACTCTGCATTTGTTGATGCATGTGTAAAATCACATTAGGTTTTTGCATTTTATTCTATCAATTAATTCAATGTTATGTATAGAATTTGCTTTAAACACAACTAAGATAAGAATTGTTTGATGTATTTTTCTTTTCTCTTAAAATAGGAAGAGGACATTAAAAATGGAGCCATGAGTATCTCCTCATTGTCTTATCATGTCATCTGCAGAAGCAAAGAACCATGCAAAATTTATGTAAAGGACCTTGAAAATCTTTTTATAAAGAACTTGAAGCTACAAATGACAATTATTTTTACACTTCATGACTGTTGATGGACGCATGAGGAGAGTGTAGCCCCAGGTGAAGAACTGAAGATTGCTCAGAATATGTGTAAACTTTTCTAACTGAGCCACGATTTGATGTTATTCTTAAACTGTTTGTTTCTGACAAGCAGTGCAGTCAGTGCTTAACTCCATGTTGGAGTTGGGAGTAAACAATCAGTTGAAATGGGTTTTCAAAAGACCCTACAGGTTCACTGCATGCACATACTTCAGTGTGAACTTGTGCATGACTGATCCTTGGTTCTCATCCTCCTTTTATATTGAATCTGGGCTGCTCTGAAATGGACATGCCGTTTAAACAACCTTTGTGAACCTTTTTTTATAAATTAAATTTCAAACTTTTGTGTTGATAATTTTTTAATGCGTAATAATGCATAAGAGAGAAGAGAGTAGAGTATATTTTGTGAATTTTTCTGTATAAATATTAATGAAAACCAAAGGCTTTAAGATGTGGTCCTCTTAGAAGATGCTGTCTAATGAACAAGACAAGATTAATACTATACTTCAGTCATCTAATGGTATCTAATTACACTGATACTAAAATGCTAAGGGTTTTTTATTGGCCCTGCATCTCCCCATTAGCCCGTTTCTCTTGAGGTTTTGATGTCCTGGTACTGCACCTCTGTGGTGCTCTGGGTTTGTGTAAAGCTGAGATTAAATAGTTCATCATAGGGCTCCTCTGCACACAATGCTTTCAGTTATGTATTGCTTAGAAAGGCAGGACAAGGTCTGCATGGGTCTGGTCTCTTTAAATGGATGCATAATGAGGGTTGTTGGAAAGATAGGGACTGTGTCTTCCTAAGGATGGAGGAGACAAGGGTGCCTCTGCCCTGGAACTTTGGAATTAAAATAGGTGAAAATAGAACTTCCTGGATTTCTTTCAGCTGGAGCCAGGAGTCTCTTCACAGACTCTCCTACCAAGCAGTTTTCAAAAGGGGTCTGTAGAATAATGTATGTGCAAGTATTTTGAACATCTTGTTCAGCATGAAAAATGTTCCTTTCAGAGTTGATTGCACTCTTATGATTTTTAGTTGATGAATGCAGTAACAGGCAGTTTAGTTAGCTTCCTGCTTAACAAAGGCAGCAGGTAATCTTTCAGTACCAGGATTGGACAGTTGCTGCATGTTTTAACAAATGTGACCATTACTTCTAATAATGTCAAACAAAACTTGAAAGAGTGGAAAAACAGATAGTAAAGAATTCATTTAAATGTGAATAGATGCTGCAAAGGATAATAGATAAAAATGTTTTTCAGCTTAAAAAAACAAAACACAGAACATTTTATTTCTGCTAGGTCTGCTTTTATGAGAAGAACCTGACTCTACTTTTAACCCCAGGAAATTCAGGAAATGAGGGATTCCATGGTTTTTATCCCCTGGTATTGCTACAAGCCTGGCTTTAGCCAGGTCAGTTAAATCCAGAACTGAGAATCATTAGGCTTCTGTTGCTGTGCAGTGCTAGGCCTAAGTGCCTCAGGGCTTTGATTTGAGGCTTTGTAAAATTGCCTTTTATCTAAGTTCTTTGCAAGTAATTGCATTTTGGGCATTCCACATTGCAGCTGAACGACACAAACCAAGTGCACCTGCAGTGTCAGTACTTCTGTCATGTTTGTAGCTGGTTCCTCTGCTGTGCTGTGTTTCCTCACTGATGCTTCAATAGTGGCAGCTGGCTCAGATACTCTTTCCTTACTGTTCTGACTTTGAAAGACTAACATAACACAGTCCTCACTGTTACACCCAAATCCGTGCTGCTCTTTGCTATTCTTTAGGGACATGCTTTTTGCCAGGGTGTCAGAAGGCTCCTGCCATGGCCTGTGGAGTGCAGGGTGTGACAGGCAGTGTTTGGCTGCAGCAGTGTGGCCTGGCAGCCCAGGAGCAGGCGAGTGTGCCGAGTCTCTCAGCAGATGGAGCAGTGAGTCAGCCTCAGGCGCTGCAAGGGCAAAGCAAAGGCTCTGACCTCTGTGTGCAGAGGGGCTAAACAGCAATATCCATTGCAGCTCTGGAGGAAAGATTGCCCTCTTGGATATAGGGAAGGGAGCATTATGGCATGGCCTATGCATACAAACAATGCTGTTTGGATTTTATGCAAATCTCCAGAGAAATCTTAGATCTCCACGGAGGTTGTAGGATGTTCTTGGGATGGAAGAACATAACATACAAGGAATCTGTCTCGATGTGTTTTCCATATGATGATGCCTTTTTTTAATTTTCCATTCTGGGGAAGGGGGGATTTGCAAGACACATTAAGTCCCTGTTCTGTGTTGTCTTCTCTGTGCCACGGTGTGACCCTGCCCTCCTAATATAAGTAAGGTGCTAACAGTAACAGATTAAAATTCAGTCTCAAAAAACTGAAGATGTCTGCAGTGTAACGCTGTAATGAACTAAGAAGTTCTCTAATTTAATGACACCTTTCTCTCAGTCTTGAACTTCTAATTCAGATTCTATCTGTGAGTCTGTCACAGTGCTCCTGATCTTAGTAAGTGAAATGTTCTGGATTTATTTATGTGCACAATTACAGATACTCTGCTGCTGCAGAGAATAGGAGAGGGGCTCACAGGTACTGTGACAGAAGTAGGTGTGTTGGCAGAAATGGCAAATTTCAAGTAGTTGGCAGTGTCTGGGCAAGAAAAGTCAGAGTGCAATCTGAAGTGAGGGGAGTGGGGGTAAGGTGTTACTGTAGGCTCTGGATGACAGTTTGTTGTTCCCTGTGCTTACATTCCCCTTTCTGGTAGCCCTTGAAGCACATAGCTGAACCGTGTAAATAGCTTCTCATCTGCCACCTGCTCCAGCAGCACAAGACAGGTTGTCTGTGAAGCTCAGGTGGGCTTCAGAGCAGCTCAGTACACAGCAGAAGTGGTGTCACCTACCTGTGTCCTCCTCCACTCCCATGGCAGTGTTTGACCCAGGTGTAGGCTCTGACTTTGAGCTGATTTTGAAACTGACACCAGGTGCATCACTAGGATCAGATTGACTGTAACTATTTAGAAGACCTGGAGCCTTTTGTCCATGCCACAGCAAAATTTTGGAGTCTTTTTTTTTTTTTTCTTTTTGGGATCCAAATCCTCCTTAAACAGAGGGTAATACATGGTGGTGTATTATAAGGCTTAAATTGTTACCTAATGAGAATGGCTTTAGTGGCCCTTCATTCCTTGTGGAGTTGTTTATTTTCCTTGTGTTTTCTGCAGATGCTGGTATAGGATGGCTCAATGTAGTTCCGAGATTTGCTATATTATTTACAGAAATTTGATGAAATGCAGAAAATAATTGGGATATTTTAATGTAAGTCTGCACCACTGGCAGTCGTAGAACAGGAGGGATTTTCTCTGGCACTGACTTGTACATGTGGATGTTTGCCTGAAGAAATGCTGGACTGTTGCACATAGACTGGTGCAAAGTAATTTGCAGTTGTGTAAAGCATTGTCTTGGCAAGGAAGAGCATTGTTTTAAAAAAAAAGTATAGCTATTGTGTGATGTATGGCAAGTAAAAATCTTAGTGGGGTCATGCATCTTTCAGGGCTGTCAGCTGAAAATCTCTATAGAGCGAAACTTTTCTAACCAACAGTTTAAGTCTAGAAAAAGTCTTTGAGAATGAGGAGAAAGAAGTATTCATTTGTTTTTCTTGAGGTTTGAACCATTCGCATCAGTTTTGGAAAAGGTTAAAGGGACGTTTTGCCTTAGAGGGCCCTCCAATGGTGGAGGGCATAGTAAACATGGGAGGGTTTGGGTTTGGGATGGATTTATAGCAGGGTTACTGGAACAGGAAGAGGTTTGGGGTTGGTTTTCGTTTCCAATTTATTTATTTTTAATGCAAAAGGTATGTTTCTCTACTCACATTGTTCATGCATTGATACATATTTTACACATAACTGAAAGCAGCTTGCTAAAACTCTCATTGCATTGCCCCACATATATATAGAGAGACCTGCAAATTGAAGAATGGATTTTAATAGAAGTTAAATTTTGCTACTGATATGGGACAGGTAGGAAGGAAAAGCATCACTTTATAAGGTGCCCCTCTGACAGCTGTAATGCTATGTTATTGAAGGATAAAAACATCCTGAGGTTTTGGATTTTGTCTTCTTATACTAGAAGTAATAAGCAATGTGATAAGACATATTTTATCTGGCTTAGAAGCTGTAAATTATTTTTCTACTTCAATATTTAATTTCCTGTTTTATCTTTTTGACTTTATTTTATGAACTACAGTGTTGCAGAAAAAGAATACTTTTGATGATGTCTGCCTTTAGTTTTGAGTTTTCTCTGTCAATTCTAGTTGCTGTAAAATTAGTCAAATTTGAGAAGAGACAGAAACAATTGGTACATAGGAGGGACTGCATGTATTAGAAAGTTGTATTTAAATCAACAAATATAAAATTTCTTTTGTTAATTGCTACTGTACATCTGGAATCCTATCTGAGTAAAAATAGTAATGGTTTGCTTTTTTGAGACATTCAACATTGCAAGCTCTGACTTCTTCTGGAAGCTGCAAGATCTGAGGTGCTTTTGAAAATCTTGCCAAAGTGTCAGAGGAGGAAAGCGAAGATATCAAATTATTGCCATGCCAAATCTTTCAGGGCACAACAGTGTTGCACAAGGAAAGTGGCTTCATTGCCAAACAGATCATCTTTCCTTTCAGAGCCCTCCCACTCTGTTCCTGCCTAATCCTCTTCTGACAGGAAAAATACTGTGATAAGACAAACACCCTGAGAGCTGTGAGTGTAGATGTGGGGCATTGAAGGAAATATGTGCTCGCAGGATTGTGACGTGAGATTGTGTGTGGTAATGATGACTAAATGCTGTGACTGCACAAGTTTATGTAAAAATTTTCTTACCTTTATATTCAAAAGAAAGATGCAGGATGTTTGTTGTGGAGAACTGAGGAGTGGGAGGGAATGCTCTGTGAGTATTTCACAGGTTAGAGAAGAGAGAGCTCTTCAGGTATACTTTCCATGGCACGACTGTATTCCTGTGTCACTGCACCCTTATTGCTGCTCAGAAGGCACAGCCCTAGCCTGGGACCTGCTTCACCTATCACATACAACTGAAGAACCACTGGTGCTCATCTTTGTCACTTTTACACCCAGTATGAATACTGACTGAAGGCAAACACTGTATGACTGAGGGGGAACAGTTGCTTTCTGATGCTCTGGGTGAGTCCTTTGGGCAAGGACTTATGGTGACTATTATTTATGCAGGGTTTTTAAGAGACTTTGCTTTGGTGTGCTGGTACCTTATCATTGGAGGGAAGAAAACAGAGCTTTTGCTGCTCAGATCTTTGAAGAATGTCCAGTTAGATGCTTTGAAAATTTTGCCCAACGTAAGCTCACATATATTGTGTTTAGGAGAGGGAGGCATATTCAACTACTGTTTTCTATAGACCAGGCTATTTTAGAGATGTAGCAGCTGAGTTTTCTGGAAGTCATGCTTCACTTAGGAAAATACTGGAATGTATTTTTCTTGTGTCTTTGTCAGAGTTTAAATCAAACAAAGAACCTTGAAGAAGTAAGTCTTTAAAGATTTGAAGGGATGGGCTTTAGAGTAAATGTATTCTGTTTTTAAGGAAACTGACATTTGTCTCTCCATGCTGTACTGCAGGTTTTTGTGCTTTGCGTGATGATGGGAATTAGTTCCAACCAGGCTGATGGTTGATTTAACTGAGTCAACTTTTGTTGAGGTTTCCAAAGCATTGCACAAGAGGTTTGAGGGGAAAAAGTTTGGGGGCATGTGACAGTTAATCTCATTAGCAGTAAGAATGACGTTTAAGCACACTGTTCAAAATTTACTCAGTTCTGTGCTGCTCTTTGTTTTAATTAACAATCTCTTGCATAGATTGGGAGCATAAACTTCTTTCCACTTTAGTCCAATTAAATCATGCTTGGAAGCTGTCAGTGGTGGGGGGAACTCCTCCCTACCCCCCTTCTTTTAATTGTTCAGTGAGTCTGTTGAATAATGGAAGAAGTTGCCTGACAGGTTTTGTAGTGGTTCGTCTTCTTGATGAATTATTTCAGAGGATAGGCGACAATGCATTGGAATGACTCATCCAATTCCTCAGAAAGTGACAATGAAGCTCATTCAGCCTTCACACAGACCGAGCACAACATAGTTGCAGCTTACTTAATAACAGCAGGTATGGGCATTGGCAAATTGTTGCATAAGCTTTTAAAATAGAACTTGTAGATCTGAATGCTCATTTTGTACAGTAATAGTGATGGTATTTCTTTTTGTGTTAGACAGCTGTCTGATGGCTTTTCTTCATATTTACTGACAAGTTAGCAATCAGCTGCCTGACTGAAATGTGCAGAAACATTTGAAGTGTGCAGATTCTAAGTTTTCTGCTCTATATTTGAAGGCAGCATTGTGTCTCAAAAAATACATTTTGTTGATATGTAATTATAGAAGAGAGTGAGAATTAGTTTCTGCCAGCTTGCAAAATAGATAAAAATAGGGCATAGCTGTCACATCTTGCATTTTTCTGTGATGTGCTCGAAGCTATCTTGAGATTTCTCCTGGGCCACATGTTTGTAGTAATAGATGTGTAGTCTGAGCATGTGAGCAGGTGTCTGTTAGGGGGATGTAAGGGGAAGGGTTGGAATGTGACTTAGAGGGAGGGAGCTGGTCATTAATCAGAGAAGAGCAGATTCCAGTTGCAGCTGTATTTTTCACCAATGACACGTGTTAGAAAAGCACGCTGTGAAGCTTTACATCGTGTTTTATCCCTGTAACTGCCATGGTCTTTGGCTAAACTTGAATGATTATAAAATTATTCTTATTCTCCCCTTAAAAACTTATTCATTATATAACCACAGCTTCTTCAGTAGTGCTTTTCTGAAGCAGTGACTGCCATAGTAATGAAATATCCAGCTAACCAAAACCGAAACCTACTGTGTTTAAAAACAGGCCTTCTATACCTTTATTATGGAAAATCAAAACAGTTTAGTCTTTATTCATTGACTATACCACAAATTTTTCCAAGTTGTAGTTAGATTTTAAAATACTGTAAAATATTAATGTATTTTACATTTGTATGAAATAGTATTGCTGATGGTTGCAGTTTATTTAGCATATATGTCTGAAGTGGTGAGTATCAAATTGCTGTGCTGGAAAAGTGGGTATTTTTGGATGCAAAGACAATAATTTATTTAAGGTCTTTGGAGAAATTAATAGAACAGCTACACAGAGCAGTAGGTTTCTTAAGAAGCTGTAGAGATAAATAATTGCGAAGAATTGGAAGCCTAGATATACCTCTTATATTTTTATTAAAATTGATTATGTAGTATGTAACAAGATGATATGTTCAGATAGTTTTGACCAGCTGGTCAAACAGTTTGGGATCAAAGCTATCATTGGTGATCACAGGGTATCAATGGAATTAGCCAGAATCAAGCCAGCTCTTCTTTCTTAATCTTGCATGGAAATTAAATGTCATGGGAAAAAAAAGTTGGATTACTTTGAAGTTTTAGGTTTTTTTCAATTTTTTATTTCTAATTATAGTTGGGGAATCTGATAAATCTTTACTTTCTTAATGAGAAATTAAATCTTTAATTTCTTAATGAGAAATGTTTTTGACAATGAAGTCCATAAAATATTTGAGAGTATGATTGATTGCTTTGCACCAGCCTTACCACAGCAAATTTCACATCTGGAAGATTTAAGCCTTGTTAATAAGCAGAAATGTAAAAATTAGAATGAAGTCTGGGTGCAGTGTTCATCATTATGCTGCTCTTTAAGTGTTTCTCTCTTGTTTTCTGGGAAGGAATTAATTGTTAAGCATTACACTGGTCAGTGTATTCATTTTTGTAATGACAGCAGGGATACTCAGGCTGCAGCAAGCTCTCCTGCCTCATGGATGTCTCTCTGCTTGTAGTGGTGAATGCTCTGGTATAATTTTAAAATGCTAGCTGGAAAGGTAAATTCCATGTTATACATGTACCTGTTTTTTTTTACTTTGATGCTGGTACCCAGCATTGACATGTCCCACCTAAACTGTCCCTAAGCACCATTTCTACACATTCCAAGGGATGGCAACTCAACCACTTCCATGGGCAGCCTGTTCCAGTACTTGATAATCCTTTCAGTGAAGAAATTTTTCCTAATATCCAAAAGTACTCTTCCCTGGTGCAACTTGAGGCCATTTCTTCTCATCCTGTCACTTGTTTCCTGGGAGAAGAGACTGACCACCACCTGGCTTCACTTCCTTTCAGGTGGTTGTAGAGAACAATAAGGTGACCTTGACCCTCCTTTTCTCCAGGCTGAACAACCCCAGCTCCCTCAGCTGCTCCTCACAAGATTTGTGCTTCAGCACTTTGACCAGCTTCAATGCTCTTTTAATGGGCACTGCTTAACTGCTTCCTGGAGAAACTTCATTCGCTTGCTTGACCTGTTCCTCAGAAACAGAAATAATTTCTTGTATCTACATGTTTTTTCTCACTTTGTTCAAGATGGAATCCGTCTTTTGTCTTATATTTTGTTCTTCAAAACAAAATTCTTTTTTTGCTCTATTATTATTTTACTTTAGTGATAATAACATTTTTAATTAATACAGGTTCCACTTTTTCTTCCCTGTTTTTCACTGCCTCCCCTCTCCCCCCCTTACTTTTAAGGCTGGACTCTGAATTATTAAATTTAAGTGTGTCTAGAAGAATCTTTTCTTCACCCTGAGGATACGAGTTTACAGTCCTGTTGTATGTCTGATTTCATTATTGGTAGCTGTAATATCTGTTAAAACTTGCCTCATAAGAAGTGTGCATTATTAAACTTGTAATTCTCCTTTGCTTTCTCCCAAGAGATGAATTGCTATCTGTCAACAGGAGAGCTGACAGAACTAGCACTGCATGTGTTTTTTTTTACTGTAGTGTTCATTTCAGATCAGATCTCAGCTCCTTGTTTATTTAAATTTTTGGAGCACGTAGGATCAGTGTCATTCCTGAAATGTGTGAGTATATGAATATGATAGATGATGGCATCTGTGGGGCCAAAAGATGTTGGACCTCCAACAGCAGACCTGCACCTGAGAACAAACATCCTTGGTGGTGTTAAAAGAGAGATAGCTGAGGGGTAATTATGATTTTGCCTCATTTGATTTTAAAATTACTGAATCTCAGGGGTTGGCAGGGGCCTTCTTCTAGATCAGGTGCATAAATTTTTTTCAAAACTTTTTTTTTTTTACCAGTCACCAACCTGGATTCTTCTTTACCATGGAGGTCAGCACTGTACTTGGTGGCCAGAGTGTTTGAAATGTAATCCTAGATGCATTTGAATTTCTGCTCTGCTTGTTGTCATTGCATCAAAGGTCTCGTTGGCTGAATCCATGTGAAGGTTGCCTAATTGGAAAAGCTTTTTTCTCTTTTTCAGGTGTCTATCCTCTTTGCAAACTTGTATTTGACTAAAAATAAATCTCTTTTGGGACTTAGATATTACAATAGGCTGCATTTTCTTCTGCACGTGTATTGCTGGCTGGTGTGTACCTTTTGTCAAGTTTTCCTTTTTCTGTTTTTACAGGAGTGATAAGCATTTTCAGTAACATTGTTGTGTTAGGCATCTTTGTTAAGTACAAAGAGCTTCGGACAGCAACCAACGCAATTATTATCAACTTGGCTTTTACTGATATTGGTGTTAGTGGCATTGGTTACCCCATGTCTGCTGCCTCAGACCTGCACGGAAGCTGGAAATTTGGATATACTGGATGCCAGGTATTGCAATTCAGTTAGAAAGAAAGTTTCAGCACTTAAAAGCAAACTGAGAAATAAGTAATGGCTCTGCCTCATGTTATTTTAAGAGATAAGGCAGAGATGCAGAATGTGACTGGACCTGAAGCTGATGTTCTGTGATGTCAGCAATTTCTGGAGATGGTATTTTGTGTGAATTTCACTTTAAGCTTATATTTACAATCTGAAACATTTAAGTGTAACCTTATGTCTATTGACTAGGCATTTTAAAATAGCTTTAAGAAGGGCTACAAAATCAAATCCTGAAATGAAGATGGTTGTAGTAACACAGGCACGTTTATGATTTTGCTGAGAGCTAAAAAACTTTGATAGTGACTTCTGTTTTGATGGTGAGCTTGACAGATCTTGGTGAGTTCTGCTTGGCAAATTCATGTCCCTTTTGGATGGGACTAATAGGATATCCAAAATGAAGGCCTCTAAGGTTTTTGGTCTCCATTAAAGATTTAGCCTACTTTTAAGAGCTGCCTATTTTTAAGAGTAGACTGACTGAAAAACATATACTTCCATAGCAGAGATGGTGGCCTTTGCTCACTGTGTATTGTGATTTTAATTTACATAATTGATAGACTGTTGGTCTTAATTGCCCATGAATATGAGTAGTAATGTGAAGGCATATACTGAAAATGTGTCATAAGGCAAAAATTTTAGACATTTATCTAACAGATGCTCATCACAATCTGACATCACTTGCCTCAGTAGACACTACCTTCACAGTCAAAATTCAGTCATTGTTTGGCAGGAAGCCTCACTTTTAACATCTTTGGATCTGGATTGGCTTGTGGTGTGTTCAGGTTGATGAGATCTCACTGATTTGAGAGTTAAGACCACTTGAAGCACAGCTCATGTCTACCTAAACCAAATGATTCCTGTGATCTGAGATGGCTGAATGCCATCTGTTATAACTGCTGGTGCCATGTGCTCTGGCTCAGGGCTCTGTATTACTGGAGTGCCAGTGGTAACACAGCCCTCCCAGTCATCCTTCCTGGTCAGGCTTCCTATGGGATGACCAGGCAGATGCATTTGGAGCATGCTGGGGTTGCAGCATGTGTTGTTCTATGCAAAAGATCTGACACACTTAAAAATGGAACCTGAGGGGGTAAATCAGTGGGCCACATCTGTGAAATCATCACAACAGGTGAAAGAGTGATAAATCAGAACCTCATGTTTGCTAAAGCTGTAACTCTTTCTGATGGACCAAATGTTCCTCAGGTTTCCTTAACATAAATTGATAACATGAAATAAATCCCTCCAAATTTTGAATCTCAAAATTTACTTATTGAAGGACAGTGTTTCTTTGATTTTGAGGCTGCTGTCTTTAGGATTTCTAATGTGCACACAAGCAGGTGCTTTTGAAATGTTTACTTTCTAATGAGCCACCTTCAAATTTCAATTTTCTGCATTGAAATAAGACCTTTAAAACCTTGCTTACGGAAGAGAACTGTGGCTGAATTGTGTTGATTCAGTACACGGCTTTGTGCTTGCATCTTTGAAAGATTTCTCAGAAATTGTTTTCTTGCTTGTTTGTTTTAATTTCAGATCTATGCTGCCTTAAATATCTTTTTTGGGATGGCGAGTATTGGTTTGCTGACTGTCGTTGCTGTTGATCGTTACCTGACCATTTGCAGGCCTGATATAGGTACTGACTTAGGGTCAAAACTCAGTCACTCTTGGGAGGAATAAAATTCTGATTTGATGTATTGTTTTCTCATTAATGACTCCATAGTTACAGTGCTGGGCAGAACTTGAACCTACAGTACCTGGTTAAGTAAGTTATCTAGTTGGCATACTGCTCATTAAAGTAAAAAATTAATCATTAGGCTGTTACTCTCTTTATAAATTGTGTTTTTATGGCCATATTCGGTCTTTAGAGGGCCACATCCATACAGTGAAGCACACAAAAAGCCTCTGGCTGTGTGAGGTTTTGACCTCTGTCAAGCAGGTGTGTCCCTCTATTAACATCCCCTGGGTGTTTTTCTCTCCTCTGTTGCAGCTGTGTTGTAACAGTTAATTCCTCCCCTGCAATCTCCCAAGGATGTACTTGAATGCAGTGTTGCATAATAAGCTTTTGGCGTGTGGTTGGGATCAGGTATTGCCTGTATGCTGAGTTGGAATGGGTGATGGTGTTCAAGTGCCTTGAAAGGCTGCAAGGACTGAGATGTCAGGCAGCAGAATGAAACTGTTTGGGACTGGAAAGGGTCTGTATAAACTCTTTATGTGCTTGTTGGAAGCCACCAGTTACTCTAGTTTGACACTGGAAAGAAGCAGCAGATGAGAATTGTGTCTGTGCTTGGCTGCAGGAAGAAGAATGACCACCCGTAGCTATGCCACTCTCATCCTTGCTGCTTGGATAAATGCAGTCTTCTGGTCCTCCATGCCTACTGCAGGCTGGGCCAGCTACGCTCCCGATCCCACCGGAGCAACGTGCACAGTGAATTGGAGGAAAAATGATGCGTAAGATTCCCCCTCACGCTTTCTTTTAACTTTGCTGGCTCGCTGGAGTCTAAAATTGTTTAATTCATTGCTGTAGGAGCATAGCTTCTTTCTGAAGTATGAAGTAAAATTTTTAACAAAAATTTAAAGCAATAAAAATAACATAGTGCAAGTCTAGCAAAACACCCCGTAGGAGTTATGCTTCAAAACTTCAATACTTGTACTTTCTAATTAAAAAAAAGAGCTAAAGAAAATTTTCCTTTTTATTTAGAGCTTGTTACAAAATGTCAAAATCAAATCAAATTCTTTGGTAACTTTTCCTGGATGGCTATTTGTAAGTTACTCTGTTTTGTTTTTCTGTCTTATCAGGTCCTTTATTTCCTACACAATGAGTGTAATTGCTGTTAATTTTGTTGTGCCCTTAACAGTCATGTTTTACTGTTATTACAATGTTTCCCGGACAATGAAACAATATGCCAGCAGTAACTGCCTGGAGAGCATTAACATAGATTGGTCTGACCAAGTAGATGTGACAAAGGTAAATGAGTGCATGTTTTGTTTAAGCATGTTCTTTGTGTGAAAGTCCTAGTTGCAAAGGGATGATGCAGTCTTTTAAGTATTTCAGTTTCCTACATTCCCCCTTTTCTTTTATACTAAATATTACCTGAATCTAAGCCTTGGTGAAAACTCTTAGTTTGACTTACCACACTCAATTCTTTATTTTTGGTCTAATACCCTCTCCAGATGAATAGCTGCTTTGAAGGCTGGGAACACTGTGAATTTTCCTTGCCACTCTCCTCTGTCATTACCTAGAAATGTACCTCCAAGGTGCCTTAGGAGAACTTTTACTCTGTGTCTGCAGAGTCATTAGGCTTCCTGCTTGGTTCACAGATGTGTCTGGTCTGAAATGGATTGGTTGACTCTCACTTGAACTCGTGGCCTAGGAATGAGAGTGCATTTCCAGCTCCCAAGCTGTGTAATTCCAGTCCCTTGTTCTTTTCAGTCTGTTGAGCTTATCTCTTATGTAAGCAGTAGCAAATGTGAGTTATGGAATGAAATGATATATCCTGCCTTGAAGGTTGACATTCTTTTAATGTATAAAAGTCCTTGAGAAATCTTGAAGTTCACCAGCTCCTTTGATTTTGTGTAAAGATGTGATTTATGGTTGGGCATGATGAAAAAGTGAGAGAGGATTGGACAGAAGAGTATGTACCTATGTTTTTGAATTACTTATCAGTGCAAACAGCATTCCTTGGAAAACTTTCTCATTGCTACGTTCTGAGGAATAGTATTTTTACCTAAAAGGAGTAATTTGAGTGTTTTACTTTTGTGAAGAACTTTCAGAATAATTGAAACTGAGGATTCAGTTAAAAATTTAGACTCATGTTTGTGAAGAAAATGCATTTTTCCTATTTTGCAGTTGAAGACACTAAGTTATAATAAAAAAAAGAGAAAAAAATACTTTGGAGTTAAGCAATATCCTTGTCTAGAACTGGACTAGTATGTGCTTTTTGAAAATTAGCCTCCTCTAAGTTTTGTATGCACCAAACTTTTAAATGCAAGGGTTCTTTCTTACATTTTGGTATTGTGTTTACATTTAAATAGGGATCTTCTGTGAGAGTCACTGCTTGTGTATTGATTGTCCTCTAGAGCAGCTCATACAAAGTAGCTGTTTATTTCTTTCTCATTTTGGTCATCTTTGAAAGACTAACTAGTGATGTAGGTGAGCAGCACTAGGGAATCCTGTGTGTATGCAGCCCTGCAGATTTGGTTGGTTTTCTAGTGGTTTGGTTTGTTTTGTCCTCTTGATTCATTTGAGATTTCCATTCCAGTTTCCACTGCTGATTCATGTCCCTGACAAAATCCAGAAAAGTCTGTCTCAGCTGATTACCTCTCCTACCCTCTACTACCCCAAGTTTGTCACTGTCCAGGTGTCCTGGGCCGTGGGCCCCAAGCTGCCCAGGTTGTTCTCTCTGCAGGCAGAGAAGACACGACAGCTCAGATACCTCCTGTGTATCATTCTTGAACATGTCTATAATGCTTCATTAAACCAAGCAGAAACTTCTGGGTTCCTCAACTATATGTCCTAGAACATTTGCTTTCTTTTATTTAATGGTACCATAATTAAGCCTTATGAAACATTTTTATTAACAGCTGAATTAAATATTGGGATAAAAATTAAATTTTTATCTCTGCTCGTATTTACTGTTTGTAATAGCATCCCAGAGTGACTTGTTATGGAGGTCGTAATTCATGTGTGAAGTCCTCTCTGGTAATTTAAACTCCTGATGGGCAGATTTAACATAATGAGTAGTGCTGATTTTGAAGGAATATTGTATGTAATGAAGTGACACCATGCAGTGAGGTGTGCTATTAAATCCCCAAAGTAAGATTTCACCGTTAACTGTCAGAATGTGTCAGGTGTGCTTGTTTATATCTTATTTAATTCAGGATAGCTCTGTTTTCACCTAGGTGTATGTGCTTTTGTTATGAGGTTTTGCTGTGTAGTCTTCATCTTGAGATAATATTGGTTATGTATCTGTTCCTCTTGTTTTACAGATGTCTGTTGTGATGATTATAATGTTCTTGGTGGCATGGTCTCCATATTCTATTGTGTGTTTATGGTCTTCCTTTGGAGACCCAAAGAAAATTTCTCCTGCAATGGCCATCATAGCTCCTCTCTTTGCAAAATCTTCCACATTCTATAATCCCTGCATTTATGTCATTGCAAACAAAAAGTAAGTCTTCTGAAATTTGTCTATTTCATGATTTTAGCATATCATCTGAGTGTAGAAGGATCACCTGTAAAACATGGCAAACTGATTAGTGAAGAGGAAATGGTACGGCGCTGTTAATTTTCTGATTACCTTTTGGACAGGAAAGCCTAAAGTAAATTGTTATCATCATCATCACAACATCCTGAATTGATACATATTTTTGAGAGTGTACTAACATAGCTTTTGAAAATCCCATTTGTGTTTTCTCAAGGGGATTCAGTACAGAATTTAGGTTGCATCAGTAGTAAACTGGTTTTATTGACTGTGGCCAAAGTGTATGGTCTTAGTGACATGTAAGTGGTGTAGATTTTTGTGTTTGATTTGGGATGTATCATATTCCAATGGATTAGGATGGATTGACCTTTTTCATTAAAGTAAATAGGTTAAGCCTATTCTGATTTGAGCAAGCATAACAAATGCTCTAATCAAGCCAGTGCCTCTGACTGAGGACTGTGTTTTGCAAAGAGGCATTCTTCCCATCTCTGCTACCAACCTTCAAGCAGAGCCTGTGATCTCTGCCTAGGTGAACATACCTGCTGAGTCAATGGAAAAACATCTGTGTTTTTTTCCCATTCTGTGAGTTCATCTTTGTTATGGCTGTACACTCTCCTGGGATAAACAAAAGCTGCTGTGATCCCTATTTAAGAAATGAAATTAGCTTTACACTCCTGTACCTGGAAGTGTAAAAGACCCAGGTCCTTTTGAATTTCAAATACATGTTTTTTATTAAGTCCATTCTACTAAAATTGAGAACCATTGTAATAGTAGAGACTATCTTACCCAATTTTTCCCTTCTCTTTGGTTCTCCAGCTAATGATCTTTCTGTTTCCCCTTTTTTGCCCTTGGCAGGTTTCGGAGGGCGATCCTGGCAATGGTGCGATGTCAGACAAGGCAAGAGATAACCATAAACAATGCTTTGCCCATGAGTGTGTCTCAAAGTGCACTGACATCGCAGAACTCCAGTCATTTGCCTGCATAAGTTGCATGGAAAGAAGTGAAATCTGGGTTCAAGTTAATTCATCTTTTGGACAATTTCTTTTTGAATAATAATCTTTCCCAGCTAGCTGGTTTGTGTTAGTCACAGTAATCTTTTTAGAGAAGATAAGGAGACAAAACCTGCCAAGACTTTAGTTTTTGAGGGTGAGGTTTATTGGTCCAGTATGTCTGTCCCAAAAAAAAAGGGTAGCAAAGTGGCCACTGTGACTTTTACAGAGCTAGACAAGGTGACAGAGGGGCCAGGAAAGACAGAACTGCAAAGTTCTTAGGTTCAATAACCCCAGATTTTTCTTATGTATTAATTCCTTTCATGAGGTACTTTCTGCCAGGTTCCCTTGAAAGTTTTTCAGATTTCAAATATTCTGAATTCTCCCTATGGCTATATGACTTGGTATATGTCCATACCAAGTGTCCATGTTGATATGCTTTACAAAGTTCTGTTTCTGTGAATATGTTGTCAAAATATCTACACTGACCCCATAGAATCATTTATTAGGTTTTAGGGTTTTGAAGGAATTTCAGCATATTTAAAATATTTTAAAAATTTTGACTGGTAGAACCAAATTAATTTGTAGTAAAGACAGCTTTTATTTTGTGAGTAGCATGTTTCTAGTGCTTTTGACTGCACAGAAAATCCTGAAAGTATGACAAAATGTACCCTAAAACTTCTCACTCGGGTGGTGCATAAAACTGAGTAAATATTTGTGGTAATTTCTCATGACTTTTAAGTCAGTCTTATGTTTATGTAGGTCTGATGTTTGATTTTCAAGAAATACCTTTGTCAGTATGAGCAATGGATTTGTTCAGTGTGAAAAAGATGACTGTATAGGTTTAGCTTCAACTATTATGTGTGTGTGCACATGCAGTTTGGCTTTGCAGTGGAAAACTTAAACCATATATGTATTTTTGGCAAAACCCTGTTTTTACGAGATTTTTTAAAAGCACTGGAATCTAGGCTTCCTATTAATTTACCATTTTCAGTATTAAAGAAAATGCCATGCAATATCCTCATGGTGTACTAGATTTCCTTCAGGAACCTTGGAACACTTCATAGACAGTATAATATATGCACTGCCTCTTAGGAGAGGAAAAGAGATATTTTATTACACACTAACTTTACAATCTACACATTAAAACAACCTTGGAACATGGCTGGATGTGATTTGAAGCAGTGTGTTCTGACAGAGTAAAGAGTGAGCTGGTTTAACTGATGGCATTCAGGATACATTTGAAGGTTAAGCAACCACAGATCTGGGCTAATCTGTTGTAATCTGCTGTTACTAAATGGATGGCTGCATTCACATTTGTAGCACACTGCACATGTATGCCTAGGAGTAAAGCCTTCACATTTCTTCATGTCAGTTCTTCTGGGAGGAAGCCATGTATCTGTTTATTTGCTTCTACCTCCTAATGAGTTTTTTTGAAGAAGTTCATGGCTTTTGTCCTTCACAATGCACTTGCGTTTACCATGGCAGAAGTGATGGCACTGGAACAAGGTATATATTTTATTATTTGTTATATAGGGCCATTTATAAGGAAAAGGGTTGAAGAAATTGGGGATAACATTCTCAGACATTGGAAATTATTTCTAGCATAGTTGCAATGAAGCATATTTTACATTAGCACTCAATGGCTAACAGCATTCCTGAACAGGAGCAGATGGTGATTATGGCTTTGTACTTAGCAAATAGCTACTCTAAATCTTCATTTTCTGCAGGAGGCAATTTCTTCTGCTCCATGACATTCCTACTATTCCAATGTCCTTTCTATTTCTACAAACTAGTTAACTAGTGTAAGAGGATTCTGGTTAAATAAATACAGTAGTTTCTTAATTTTTTTTTAAAATCTGCAGTAAATTATGTAATTTTTGATAGTAAGGAGGTTAATTTGAAATGTGGTGACCTGGTATTGTCGTGTCAATTTTAGGAGATGCTCTTTGTCATTGCTATTTATTGTCACCGGCTATCTGGAATAAAGCTGCATGAGGAAAAAGTAAAATAGAGGAATAATCTAGAGAAAAGAGGGAGAAAGTTAAGGATAGACTTACTGAAGGCAAGGGATCCTTCAAGCTAGTATGTGCAAACAATATACCCCAAAGAAATTGTTTCCTGAAATCAAATAACTGAAAATGCTGAGAAATCCCATTTCACTGAAATCATTGTGAGCAGAAAGTTCTTTTCATCTCTATAAAGCAAGTAATTTGTACATAGACATCAACAAGAGGGCCAGAAAGCTCTTCTTTACTGAATTTTCTTTGATATATTTTAAATTTTCAGTCTATTCCAAAAGGTAAGTATGGAAAATACTTTGCCTCCTCATCATACAGAAAAATTAGAGATTATTAATCTTAAATTTGAATTTTAGTATTTTTAATTAGGGGAATGCATTTCCCACTTGAGACGCATGCATGTATTATTCCTTGTACAATGGCTTCTGTCTTTCAGTTGTCAGTAGAGGGAGGGGTGGATAGAGGGTGGTGCTTATCTACTTTAGAATAAAGCAAATCTACGTTTTATGTGGAAGGATCAGTTCTGATTTGTATTCTTTTGGTCTTTAGAGACTCCATGTTTGTGGAGTTTGTTCAGCTTTTAAAGGCAGAGGACTGCTCTTGAATTCTGTGTTCTTCGTTCTGGTAGTAGTGTTGCAGAAAGCTACAGCTTTCTGTATCTTTGAATCTGAAATTCAAATTTCTGCTAAATTAATGCAAATATGTCTCTCCCCCTCCTTTTTTTTCTTTATTTTTCCCTCCCTGTTGCTAGGTCTGTACTCTGTAATGACCCTGACATGTATGAGATCCCTGTGAATGTTCCTGTGGATACTGTAAAGCTTCGTATAGAGAAAACTGTCATACGAAGGATTCCGACTGAAGCCTTTTACTACCTGGTAGATCTCAAGTACCTGTGGGTCACTTACAACTGTGTAGCCAACATTGATATCAGCAGCTTCTATAACTTGAAACAGCTGCATGAGCTGAGGCTGGATGGTAATCTGCTCTCAACTTTCCCTTGGGAATCCCTGGCTGAGATGCCCAATTTACGGACTCTTGATCTCCACAACAACAAGCTGACCAGCATTCCCGCTGATGCTGGCCGCTTCCTGAGAAACCTCACCTACCTGGACCTATCCAGCAACAAGCTGACCACCTTGCCATCAGACCTCATGGACATTTGGCCCCCCTTCTCAGGAGCTATCGTGTCCAAGAACACAGACATTCTGGTGACACAGAGAGTAATCTTGGGTATGTTGAGCAGCCCATCTCATTCCTTACCAAAATATACCTGAATGTTAACTTCCAAGTGAGAACAGTTGGGGGACCAGCCTAGGATTCAGGAAAGGGGGTTTTACCCAGGTTGCTCTTGTGGTTTGCTCAGTGGTCATTTATTTATTTTCTACTGGTAACAAAAAAACATAAAATGAAGATGGTGACCTCCATGTGTGTTGTTACTTCAAAGCTATAAAACTGAAGTAAAAGCTATGAGAATCCAGATTGCAGGAATACAGGCCATTCAGTAGCTATATAAATAGAGGACTTATATTGTGTTTCTGATGACATTTCCCTCATCTTTCTTTGTGTTTGCAACTGTAAGCCTGTCCATTTGCAACTGCTTTTTTCCAGAGGCTCCCAAGCCAAGCGTGCAGTTAGAGCTGATGCTCTTATAAAGCCTGTCCTGTGACACAATGCTGCAGATAGTGTTGGTGGCTTAGAAGAGAGCAGCTCTGGTCTCCCTGGGACCTCTGCTGACCTTGCATTACTCTAAAGCTGACTGATTATCCTCAAGTTTTTTGCAATTTACATATTGAATATGAGAGAAAATAGGAGTATGATCCCTATTTGTTCATGGTACTTTATTTTTTAGTATCTAAGGTAAGTATTTAAGAATAATTTGGTCAGAATGTTTTTTTTCATAATTTGATCCCTTTCCCTAGCATGCAGTTGTATCAGTTCTGTTTGTGGCATTGTGCTTTATCTGACACTTCATCTCCAATTCCAGGTCTTGCCAGGGTAACCACTTTCTCTTCTTCAGTCTCAAGCTGGAACAATTCTATCAATACTGTTCTTCTCTATCACTGTTTACATAGAAGTGCATATTTGATGTGTTTGTAGTGCAGCAGGTGGAAGGGAGGAAAACCAGTTGGCTGTATCTACTGCAATAATTCTATAAGCACTGGTAAAGATCTGATCTGCATTGTACTGCCCAATATTTCCAATTTCTTGATCTAAACTCCCAGTATTCAGTGTCCATTTGTTTAGCTGCTTTATTTCACAGCAGAAGCTGCAGCTTGAAATTCTCATTCAGATCATATTTTATATAAGTAATTTAATAGATGCAAGTAGGCTGCATGGCTTCATAAATATGGTAACTGTAGGCTTGCATGATAAAGGGTTTTGGTTTATTCAGGCTTTAAAAAATAAAATACTAAAAGCTGTAAAAGTAAGTCCATCTCAGTACTCCTTTCCATGTCCCCACAATGAAGACTACAGGAGGCTGTGAAGTGGGAGCTGATTGTGATAGATCTAATCTTCATGATCTCATGGGGGAGTCCCAGAGATTAATTGGTTTCCTTATCTTACATAACCCTCACCACTTCAGGCAAAACTAAAGGAACTGAGAAAATAAAATAACCCCCAATACAAAACCACCAAAAAAATCTTAAACCATCACACACACTCTTCTCTCCCATTAACTCTGGGAATCATCTGCAGGCTTTCTTGGTGCAGGAACTTTTCCAGCCTTCTGTAGTCCTGGCAAACCCTCTGGTGCCAGCATTGAGTTCTTTGAAGGCTTTGGATGTGACCTTTGACCATTTTCATTATGAACTACAGCTGGGTTTTAACACAGGCCTCCAGAGAGTTACACACACTGGGTTTAGACAGAACCTTGCTTCTCCTTTTTTTTTTTTTTTTTTCCTGTTAGGTGCTAAGGGAGGCTCTGTGCAGCCATTATAGATTTTCACCTGAGAATACAAAATGCCAGGCAGTAC